TCGCTTATCTTCGATAGCGATCGCGTTCGCTCGACCGCTCGCGAAATTGGTTCGCGCGGACAGGTGCGCGCGTTCATTAGCGCGAGCGCGACGCACCGCTGGATTTCGCTTTCCGCAAAGAGGCACGTCGAACCGGGACAGAATCGTCGCGAGTACGCAGACACGTCGCGAGGTGTTGACACCTCATTTCTTTTCAAATCGAAAGTTTTATCAATAGTCCGTCTGCACCAGCTCTGCAGTTTCTGGCAGGTTTTAGAAGTAGCGTTGTAACAATTAAATAGCAACTTGGTGACGCCAGCCAAGAAATCGAGAATTTGAATAAGTGTGGAAACGACCTCACTGGCAATTCTTTATTATAATAAATCACAACGTTTCGGCCAGTAATACTGGTCCTCTTCAGGTAACGAGCTTACAAAAGTACCTACAAATGTCTGAAGAACAGGAAAATAATGTATAAACTAAATTAAGGTGAGATCTTGCGTTAAGGTGTTTTTTGTATAAACTTACAAGATTGGTTAGATATAGAGATGTGAAAATTATGTTAGAAGTCAGAGATTTCGTTGTACAATGCGTTGTTCAATAGCTGCGTTGATTTGGACAGAGGAAAGGACACGTGAAAATATGGAGGAAGTGCTGACTTCACACCAGCATCTTAGGTTGCGAATAAAGTGATCTCAAATCATTACAGAATTTCATGGTTTTAAGGAGAGTTCTGCAGTTTCTAATAAAATTCAACAACAGTTCCGCTCGTTAAACTAACTGCTGGTAACTTTCGATTTTGTAAAATGAAGTGCCAATTTCACGGCGGCGTCGACGCACGCGACGACGCGAGTTCAACCCGCAACAAACTCGCTCCAGATTGCGTGACTATTTACGGGGAGACAGCTGGCGCGATATGGAAAATGCGAATGAAAGTTAGGGATCGAGGCATTTTGACGATCGTTTTGAACCGTGTGCCGTGTTCAGAATGTTCGAAGTGTCGAGAAAAGTGAAATTTACTTGTACGAGCTAAGCGTGCCATTGACCAATTCTACATTGATTCCGTATTGGTTTTATATAAAAAAATATATATGATATAATTCTCATTCCTAAATACGTTTAATGGGATCTTTGATTTAATATTCGTGATCATTGAATGATAAAAACCTCGTATAACGCACAAGCGTAAATGTTGCGTCTCTGCCTAAGTAAACGCACGATTAACGGATTTGCCGGAGTGCACGCGAGATTGAATTTAAACACGCTTTGTTTCGACACAGATGAAGCAGCAACGTTTTCTTCTTTATTACCACGATGTTACACCGGTGCCGTTATGTGCATTCTGAAGAAGATCATAAGGCGAATGACGAAGCTGTCCGAGGGCAATCATGACGTCCACGGCGTTGCTTTTTTTGAAAATTTAATGTCCTTTTAATTTATAGTACCTAACTCCCTCCGCAAATGTAAAATCACTAACGACGTGGGCAAAGAACACGCACTGAAAAACA